ACAGGGAAGCATAGGTGGGTAAATTCAATGATAGGCTGATGGTTGCCTGGATCTTCCCTGATCTTTAGGGTCCATTCAGACAGCAGATTAGTGCCACCCTTCATGTAGAGCCGCTGGCAGAGGCATGTGCATCCACCTTGGATCTGCATGCAGGCAGCCCATAGACGGGGATGCACATGCAGCGCCAGGAACCGACACAATCGCATGTCAAAGGTTGACGTACAGACAGAATTTGTAAACTGCAATATAATCTAAGGATTTGTAATCTGCAATAAATACATTTTTGTTCTTGGGTTTAGATACACATTAAATTAAAGGCAGTTTATTATTTTTTAACGTCTGTGACCTCTCCACATATGACAGATCTACCATTAATCTTCCTAAATGCCTGTTATCCTTTGTCTGCATGTGACTGGAAGAAGGATATCACCCTATATCCTGTGTTTCATTTACAATGTACTGGCATGTTCCTGTACTTGTGGAGAGAGAGATTTTCCTGACAGCTGTGCCATGTGCTTATTTATTCAGTGCTACCAGGAAGGTGTTTCACTTCTTTCTCTCTTCTTTTCTCAAAAACAATATGTGGCACCACAACTAGAGATCAGCACAATCCCGATCTGGTGTGTAGCTGCAATATTAAGTCGTTTTTTTTAAATGCCTTTATTTCATTTTCAGTCCTAATTAAACTAATGTCCCAAATGGGAACCCAAGTATATTTAAAGACTTGTTGACAAATATTTTATATGTGTAACTCAAAGTAGCCTTTTTATTATTAAACAATTGTCCAGATAATTCAAACATGAGAAGGTGGGGGAGAATTACAGTATTAGGCTCATTCCCATGTCACTCAGATCCCTGCAGGATGAAAGGCCCTCTGTTGACTTCTCTGATCTTGCGCCCATATTACAGCCGAGTTTGTAGGTACAGAGGGGCGGGGGGCATGGACACTGACACAGAACTGGTGCATCCAGGTCTGTGTACCCATTCCTGCGTACCTGTCAAACTTCACCGTGTGGGCGAGTCTGTGCAGCCGTTGTGCATCCATTCATTAATATGGGCTACACTCAGCTCAGTGCTAGGACAGAAAAGTAAACAAAAGACATATATATTGGACACCCAGGACATATCATTTGGTTATGGAACCCCATAGAAAATAATTTTCAGTAATATTCTTGAAATGAATAATACCTGCTGAAACAAAGGCAGACAGTAAAACTGTGCTGTCCTCTAACATCAGTGTAATTGAACCCTGTTTGGGGGGCATTCCGTTCACTAATATGGGCTGCACTCATCTCTGAGCTAGGACAGAAAAGTAAGCACTACTAGATTTCTACTATATAGGGGGCATTCTTCCCAGATACTACTGTATGGGGGGCATTCTTCCGTGACTACTACTGTATGGGGGGCATTCTTCCCTGACTACTACTGTATGGGGGGGCATTCTAGCTACCACTATATGGGGGGCACTCTTCCCTATCACTGTATGGGGGCATTTTGACTACCACTGTATGGGGGGCATTCTTCCCAGACTACTACTGTATGGGGGGCATTCTTCCCAGACTACTACTGTATGGGGGGCATTCTTCCCAGACTACTACTGTATGGGGGCATTCTTCCCTGACTACTACTGTATGGGGGGCATTCTTCCCTGACTACTACTGTATGGGGGGCATTTTCCCTGACTACTACTGTATGGGGGGGCATTCTGGCTACCACTATATGGGGGGCACTCTTCCCTATCACTGTATGGGGGGCATTTTGACTACCACTGTATGGGGGGCATTCTTCCCAGACTACTACTGTATGGGGGCATTCTTCCCAGACTACTACTGTATGGGGGGCATTCTTCCCAGACTACTACTGTATGGGGGGCATTCTTCCCAGACTACTACTGTATGGGGGGCATTCTTCCCAGACTACTACTGTATGGGGGCATTTCTTCCCTGACTACTACTGTATGGGGGGCATTCTTTCCAGACTACTACTGTATGGGGGGCATTCTTCCCTGACTACTACTGTATGGGGGGCATTCTTTCCAGACTACTACTGTATGGGGGGCATTCTTCCCTGACTACCACTGTATAAGGGGCATTCTGCCCTGACTACCACTGTACGGGGGTGTTCTGCCCTGACTACCACTGTATGGGGGGTGTTCTGCCCTGACTACCACTGTATGGGGGGCGTTCTGCCCTGACTACCACTGTATGGGCGTGTTCTTCCCTGACTGCCACTGTATCAGGGCTTTTTTCCCTGACTGTCACTGTATGGGGGGCATTCTAACCTGACTACTACTTTATGGGGGGGTGTTCTTCCCTGACTACCACTGTATGGGGGGCATTCTACTACTGTATGGGGGAATTCTTCCCTGACTACCACTATATGGGGGGCACTCTGACTACCACTGTATGGGGGACAATCTTCCCTGAATACCACTGTATGGATGGAGGGGCATTCTTCCCTCACTACTACTGTATGGGGGGGGGGGATCTTCTCTGACTAGCATTGTATGGGGGACATTCTGACTACCACTGTATTGGGGGCATTCTTCCCTGACTACAACTGTTTTGGGGGGCGTTCTGACTACCACTATATAGTGGTGGTGGTGGTGGGGAGCATTCTTCCCTGACTACCATTGTATGGGGGCATTTTAATTATCACTGTATGGAGGGAGCATTCTAACTACCACTGTATGAGGGGAAGGGGATCATTCTAAGTACCACTGTATGGGGGGCATTCTTCCCTGACTACAACTGTTTGGGGGGCATTCTGACTATCACTATATGGTGGTGGGGACAATCTTCCCTGACTACCACTGTATGGGGGGAGGGGCATTCTTCCCTGACTACTACTGTATGGGGGGGGGGGGGGGCAATCTTCTCTGACTAGCATTGTATGGGGGACATTCTGACTACCACTGTATTGGGGGCATTTTCCCCTGACTAAAACTGTTTTGGGGGGGCATTCTGACTACCACTATATGGTGGGGGGGGGGGCATTCGTCCCTGACTACTACTGTATGGGGGGCATTCTGACTACCACTATATGGTGGGGGGGGGGCATTCGTCCCTGACTACTACTGTATGGGGGGCATTCTGACTACCATTGTATGGTGGCATTTTAACTATCACTGTATGGGGGGAGCATTCTAATTACCACTGTATGAGGAGGAGCATTCGAACTACCACTGTATGGGGGGCATTCTAACTACCACTGTATGGGGGGAGAGGGCATTTTAACTACTACTGTATGGGGGGCATTCTAGCTACCACTGTATGGGGGGGGGCAGGGGCATATCTACCATGAGGCACACAAGGCTTTTGCCTAGGGTGGCAATTTTTAGGGGGGCGACAGGAGGGAGAGACAGACCTGGCTGATTGGAGGAGGTGCCCTGGTGTTCCTGAGTGGCCGCTCCCTGCTGAGCTCCTTCCCCTGCCCATACTCAGAGCCAGGACCAGGGGGCAGCCTGGAGCAGGGAGAGGAGAAGTGGCGGAGTGGAAAGAGCTGGGAGGAGGTGAACTGTGTTGTGTTCTCTGGGGCCTCCCTCCTGTCGTCCATCCAGCACATGATGCACGATCACTGATAGATCATATGTGACTGCACACACACAGTATGATTACCACCCCCTGCCCACATTTCCTGCTGCCCGGAGATCAGCAGCCCTTGGAGGAGGTGGGGGGGGGGGGTAATCATTCTCTCTGTGTGTGCATACAGTCCCAAGGAAAAAAGAGAGAAAGAGGGAGAGAGGGAATAGAGAGAGAAGAGAGGGGGGAGAGAGGAAGAGGGGGGGGAGAGGGAGAGAAAAGGAGAGAGGGAGAGAGAGAGAGGGAGGGAAGAGAGAAGAGGATGGGAGAGAAGAGATAGAGAGAGAAGAGAGGGAGAGAAGAGAAGTGAGGGAGAGAGAGAGAGAGGGGGGGAGAAGGGGGGAGAGAGAGAGTAGGGAGAGAGAGAGAGAAGAGAGATAGGGGGGAGAAGATGAGAGAGGGAGAGAGAGAAGAGAAGGGAGAGGGAAAGGGAGAGGAGATGGAGAGAGAGAGAAGAGAGGGAGAGAGAAGAGAGGGGGGGAGAGAAAGAGAAGGAGAAGAGAGGGGGGAGAGAAGAAAGGGAGAGAAGAGAGGGGGGGGGGGGGAAGGAGAAGGAGAAGAGAGAGGGGGAAGAGAGAGAGGGAGAAGAGAGGGAAAAGAGAAGGAGAGGAGATAGTGAGGGGAGGGAGGGAGAGGGAGAGAAGAGATATTATAGAGAGAAGAGAAGAGAGGGAGAGAGAGAGAGAGGGGGGGAGAGAGAAGGAGAAGAGGGGGGAGGAGAGAGAAGAGAGGGAGATAAGAGAGGGGGAGGAGAGAAGAGAGAGGGGAGAGAGAGAGGGGGGGGAGAGAGAGAAGAGAAGGAGAGGAGATAGAGAGGGAGAGGATAGAGAGAGAGAGAGAAGAGAGGGAGATGAGAGAGAGAGAGTGAGAGGGAGGGAGAGGGAGAGAAGAGAGGGAGAATCATATATACACACATACACTCATTGAACTCTCTCGCTCTCTCATTGGGGGGTGCACAATTTTTGTGTTGCCTAGGGCAGCAAAAAAAACCTAAATACACCAGGGGGGGGGGGGGGGTTGAAACATTTTATCTACCACGGTATGGGGGGGGGGGGGGCATTCTAACTACCACTGTTCATGGCAATAATCAAACACACTCCATGAATATTTCAAAGGTGGCATGCCTCTGTAGACATGGCATAGAGGATGAATGGCCCATATTTGGCTTCACTGCCTTCTACCAGGACCGACAAACAGTAATTCCGTACCCCCCCCCCCCCCCCCCCCCCCCCCACACACACACACAATTGTCTAGCCATCAATTATGATGATCCCCATCCCCCTGCAGAGATATGAGAGGCAGTACTCCCTCCATGCTCCGTGCTCCCTCCATGCTCCCCCCATGTTCCCTCCATGCTCCCCCCATGTTCCCTCCGTGCTCCCCCCATGTTCCCCCCATGCTCCCTATGGTGCACTCACGTCTCCAGCGTTGGGGGATGAAGTGCAGGTGGGGGTAGAACAGGTCCACTTCATGCTGCAGGACATCCTCGAAGAACCTCTGGCGGTCCCGGAGGTGCTGAGAGCTGGAGGTCTGAGTCTGGTACCGGGGGTGTCCCTGGGGAGACAAGACAGTATGACACCATAGGGATCACCGATCCGCCATACAGAAGAACAGGCTCCGCGTGGATCGGAGAAAGTGGAAGGAAAGTCCCTCCAAGTCAGCCGAGGTCCTCCTATACAGAGAGCTTTACCTGTCTCGTTGTCATGTCTGCTCCAGCCCGGGACAGCAGAGGGTCCGGCAGAGGACGGCAGAAGGTCCGGCGGTGTTCTGTAGTCCGGACAGACAGGAGCACTCCCTACACTCCACTAGTCTGTGATCGGAGGGGCGGGGTCACAGGCAGCTGATTCCTCCTCCCCGGGGGATGGAGTGTCACTGGCGGACTGTACATGGTGTCCTGTGCTGGATGATCCGTCTTCATTCCTCCCTCCATGGGAAGGTTTCTGTGCTCCATAAACACCGGAGCCTGTATACCTTCTAGTCCATTCCTGGCAGGGAAGTATATACAGTGCTGTCATCAGACACGTTACATAGACGTGCTCCATACATCCCAGCCAATGCTTCGGTCCCTCTTCTTCGTCCTTATGTCACATCTGTCTGTAGAACTACAATGTATCCACCGGGGTACCGGCCTGTATCTATTGTATATATTGTACCCCCATCCATTACCAGACTATTTTTCATTTTCAGTGCTGTGATAGTTTGGCTGACAACTACTCCATCATGCAACACTCTACCCCAAATAAGAGGTTTTTTCACTATACAGTACAAAATTATGGAAAAATAAGTACAAAGTAATAATACCAAAAATGTGGGATTGCTTACATTTACCTGTCATTTCTGTAGCTTTAAAAAAAAACGATCCCACTATCATTGGTGGTCAGCGGAACATTAACCACTTGCCCTCCAGAGCATTTACCCCCCTTCTTGACCCGGTCATTTTTTGCGGTACGGTGCTGCATTATTTTAACTGACAATTGCGCGGTCATGCAACGCTGCACCTAAATGAAATTTACATCCTTTTTCGCCCACAAATAGAGCTTTCTTTTGGTGGTATTTGATAGCCTGTGCGTTTTTTTATTTTTTGCGCTATAAAAAAAAAGACCAACAATTTTGAGAAAAAAAACTGTAAAAATCAAATTTCATCATAAATTTAGGCCAAAATGTATTTTGCTACATGTCTTTGCTAAAAAAAATCCCAATATGTGTAAATTAATTGGTTTACATGAAAGTTATAGCATCTACAAATGGCGGTATATATACTGGGATTTTTCTTTTTTTTTTACTAGTAATGGTAGCAATCAGCAACTTATAGTGGGATTGCAGGACTGCAGCGGGCATTCTGACACTGGGGGGAACTGGCTTGGTGTCACTGACATCCCCAGTGACACCAATACAGTGATCAGTGCTAATAAAAAGCACTGACACTGTACTAATGGCACTGGGCAGGAACTGGTTAACATCTGGGGCGATCAAAGGGCTAACTGCTGTTTCACTATGGGGGCTGTGTGTGCTTCACTGTAAGCACACTGCTTTGTATGGCTCTGCTATGCAGAGCCATACAAAGCAGTATGCAGGAGCTGACAGGGGAGAGATCTGTGTGGTTTTATACACAGATCTCTCCCCCATTGGAGATACTTGGCAATCACCAGGTGTTGGCGAGTAATCACCTGCCAGGACCCAGTGATTGACAGCCGAGGCCACTACCCAGAAATGCAAAATCACGTATATATATATATATATATATATATATATATATATATATTTTTTATTTTTTTTTTTTTTTGCGCACCCCTGCTGCCCTGTAGCAGTATTTGTGATATAGGGTGGAGGGGAAGCGGTTAAAGTATAACAACAGGCAAAACTTTTTTTTTAGTTTTGGATATAGTGGAGATGGATTATAACACTTGGCATTAGGGAAATTCACCCTATTTGTCTTGTTTTATCATTATCATCGAAAGTAAAAGAAAATCCCAAATTATGGGTTGTCCTCAGAGACAGTAATAGAAGGGAAATCTTCCAATGGGGTCACTGGTTCTGCTGAGCTGGAGGGCCCCAAGGAATCCCCTTCATCATTTGCAGGGATTTCCTTTCACTTCCTGTGTGGCTATGGGACAGAAAATCTAACAAGAGTTATAACCCTCTCTTGTTCTATCCAAAATGAAAAAAAAAAAGTTTTGTGGGGGTCAGTGGCATTTTAACCCCCCCCCTTCCTTAAAAAGCAATCCCGCAATCAATAGTGGTCAATGGTATTTTAAGCCCACCCCCAAAGATAATCTCACACTCATTGCTGATTGATGTGATTTTTAACTCAACCCCGAAAAATAATCCAACAATCATTGGTGGTCAGTAGCATTTTAATCCCTCCCACATTTTTAAAAAAAACATTTCCACCCCCCACCCCCAAGCTTTTAAAGAGTTCCCACAAATGTCTGTAATCAGTGGCAGTGTAACCTCCAAAGTCCCAAAGGAGCTAATGGTTAATTAGCCTCTTCCCCACCCATACAACATTAAAAAAATCCCACAATCATTGGTGGTCTATTAGGGTTGCCACCTCATGGTCAATGGAATTTTTTAAATCCATCCCCACCCACCCACAGGCATTGATGGTTAGTGGCACTATACCCCCCAAAAGAAAATCCCACAATCATTGGTGATCAGTGACACTTCAACTTCCCCCCAATAAAAAACAACAATTCCACAATCACTGGTTAGTGATATATTAACACCCCCCTAAAAAAAAAAAAAGCAATATAACAAACACCGGTGGTCAGTGGCACTTTAAACTCCACCCCAACCTTTGAAAAAAAAATACCACAAATATTGGTGATCAGTGGCATTTTAACTTCCCCTCCATCCCGCCAAGGAAAATCCCACAATCATTGATAGTGAGTGTCACTTTAAGACCCCCTTACCCTCACTTTCAGTATACCGTGATCCTTCTTCTTGCTGTATTTACAAACATTCAGCCTATTCACAACAGAGGAAGGGTATTTTTTTTCCTTGTTCAGCACTGCCTGATAACTATCTGTGCTGATGAGTGTATGGGAATTGGTAATTCAGTGCAGCTGGCTGGTGTGGCTTCAATTTTACTTTACTATTGCTTGGATAAGGCACATGTGCGAAATGTAGTACACCTACAGGACAAGTTTGCCTTCTAATAGGTGGATTTGACCATTAAATATTTAGGTCCCAATGTCCCAGGGGACCTCTCCCAAACTTGCCAGGTCTATACCCCCTCACCTTCTTAAAATTAGACAAGACTCTAATGCAGGCTATAGACTTCAGCCGATAAATGAAAAATCGGTCGTTGCCGATGCTGCCACCAATGCTCACGAAAGAATGGGACAAGAAACCAGTGACAGAGACAAGGGAGCACACCATACAATGTGACAGCAATACAAATACATTATGTTTTTATTTGGATACAAATGGATACATTTGTTGCAACCGCAAGACTTTTTCATATAAAATATAATAGAGGACTTCTTTGTTGCAACTGCAAGACTTTTTCATATAAAATATAATAGCAGACTTCTTCTTCTTATTTTTATTCTTCTTATTATTATTATTATAATATATATATTTTGGACTTTCAGAGAAATATATATATATATATATATATATATACATATAAACGTGTGTGTATGCATTTACAGTAAAAAGAATGCTGGCAACCTTGCATGTCACGGCTCATGCGCAGATTTTTGATCGGTAAAACGATCAGCCGATTTGCCCATCATTGCTGGGAAAATCGTCCGATCGTCCAAATCGACCACAAATTTTCCAACATGACCGATAAAAAAATTGTGCAAAAAACCCAAAAAACGGCCGACCAATTAACCCACTAACAGTGCGAAAATCGGCCGATTTTTTTGGGGTCGAAAAATCTGCCAATTTTCGACCCGTCTATGGCCTGCATAAGTCAACAGCACACAGACCATTTCTCGTGATTTGTAAGGTGCTGCATTCTAAAAATGAGTATCCTACTGTGTATATTGTACTTGTACTCTTCCTTTACATGAATCTTATTCTTAGAAGTTGTAAACAACACATTTCTTGATTCTTTATGGGCCATTAGACCACCACGGCTACAACATGCTATTCTCAGATTGTGGAAAGATCAAGGTGATCAAAGATCATTGCTACCAGACATATCATTGTGACGATCGTGGCGTCAGACCCCAGCCCTTCTCACCAAACTCGTGACAGAAGGACTAGCCAACCTAAAACCACGCTGTCTTGTGCGTAACAATGCCACGCCCAGCTGCACCTGCACAAAGATTTTCCAGCTAATGGACCACAATCTGTGTACTTGCAGCCTGGGAGCGATTATTACTGAGTCAGGTTAATTACGCAATTAACGCTTCACACTGCCACCACCTCCTTTTTGTACAGAGAAAGAGGAAACTCGGCAATATCAGCAATAACACTATGATGCTGAATAATCGTCTGTATACCACTGTCACTGCAGGTAGAGATATACAGAAGTTGAAAACACACACAGTAGCGCTCTTCAGAGACAGGGGTTCTTAGTTTGCATTAAAGAGCTTTACGATCCTTTTCCATATGGAGGGGGTGTGGTGATTATCTCAACATGTTTTATATATATGGGGCACTGGCAGGTCTGGTTGCCTTTTCTTTGAGGAAGGGAGTTTGACTCCCGAAACGCGTCAACCATTCCCAAACGGGCAGTTGTACCACAGGACCCCCGTTGTGTGGGATTGATACATTTAGTTCCATGTCTGTTTTCAATATCTTTTTGTGAGTATCCACGTGTCACGTTTTTAATAAATTCATTTGTTACAACTGTAATGCACGAGGAGAGTGCGCCTTTTTGTGTTTTTCTTTTGTTAGTACTAAGATTCCATCTTTGGTGGGCTGCACACACAGCAAATGACAGACACCGTGTTTCACTGTGGAGCATGAAGATTTGAGTGCTGGTGATGTTTTTATTTTGATGTTTTTAGTGGACCACACTAAAAAAGTTGACAATGAACACTAATCTGGCCCATCTAGGTTTCTGGGGAACAGCATAGTTATCACATCTCATCCGTTCTCTTTTACCTGCGGGTAACTGTCTCAGACTTCCCCCCAAACATGACTTGAAAAACAAATGGAAACAATACCTTTTTGTTATTGTTATTGTTGGTTGTATTCTTTTCACTAAACTATTATTAGATGATATTATTGTAGGACTTTTTTAAA